AATCAAGGGTTAAATTCATCAATTCTAATGAGAATGCAGTAGCGAAGTAAAGCACTGCGGTTTTACATAATTTCTGAGTAAGCTATTTGTACGAATTGAAATAATTCTCGCATTTAAACTTGTATTCCAAATTAAGATTTAACTTGAAATTAATGTAGATAATTACTGAGAGAATTAGATTTTTGTAGCGTAGTTTACTTGAGATGAGATCACGTGGTGTTAAGTGATGCGAACCGGCAAATCAGGATGTTGAACCATGAAAACATAGTAAATTCTTAATGTCTTTTTACAAATTTATTATCTTTATTTATTGGCTTTTTACAAAATTTTAAAAGATATTAAAATGTTTGAGCTTTCAAAATAAAAAATTCTTAGAACTAACAGTTGTTAACATTTTTTATGTGTATATTGTATGTTGTCGTCAACAAAGTCTACTTGCCGAGATTTGCGCCAGTGAAACTGAAAAGTACCTCAGAAACTAAACATAAAGATTAAATAAATAAATCTGAAGAATTTTTTTTAAGGAATGAGCTGAGAGCATGAAAAATTAAAATGTGTTTTTGAAAAAATATACAACAGTTCCTGAGAAGGATTTACAGGCATCCTTAAAAGTTTCGTATTTAATTGCAAAAAATTTAAAACCTCATACAGTTGGAGAATCGCTCATTCTTCCTTCAGCAATTAAAATGACATCATTTATGCATGCAGAAAAATATAGTAACGATTTAAAAACAATAGCATTAAAAAAGATACTGTTTCTCACCAAATTTTTGTCATATCAGACACTATAGAATACAAAATTCAGTCTTTAATATAAAACTTGAAACTACCAACATTACTAAAATGTTTCAATTTATCGTTTATGCGAGATATGTTTTTGAAAACGACGCAGTAGAATATTTTTTATGTTGTAATATTTGGGAAGGAAAAGCAACTGGAGAGAAAATATTTGAAATTATTAATAGACATTTTGAAACAATGTTACCTAGACACACTGTGTCGCAGTTTGTACTAATGTAAGCTTTTAAAACTAAGACAAGGACTAACTAACTAAGACTTTGGCAAGGAGAATTAAACAAAAAAAAAAAAAAAAAAAAAAAAAAAAAAAAAAAAAAAACAGAAACATGCTTTTTTCACAATTTACTAAAGAATAATAATAATATAAATTTCTTGTTTAAAAGGACATATGATAAAACTGACAGAAAGTTTTTTGAAAAATTTCCAAATAAGGAATTAGGTTGGATCTGTGACCCACTTTCTTTGCCTTTGGTGTTTTCAATTCCAATGTATTTCTAAATGAAAAAGAACAATTAATTGATATTTTAAGAAACGGAATACTGTGTGCTTAAGTTAAGTCTCTAACTTGCCAAAAATTTTAGTAATGATTAGAAACTAATATGCCGATTTAAAAGGAAATGAAAGGTAAATTATTATGTTTCTTACATAAAATTGTACAGTAAATCCTTTAGCTTCTATATTTTAAAACTTCTAAAATGCTTATGTTACATTTTTCTGTTATATAAGCATTGAAAGTTAGATTTCTCACTGAAATAGAAATAATTTTGCTATTGAATTAACATGGAGAACTTTTTTTATTGAAATATTTTTTCTCTGTGACAATTTAGTTGCATCTGCTACTTACAAAATAAAGATTAAAGAACTGTTTTTAACAACATTTTGAATTCGTTGTCATATTGATCTATGAAGCACTAGATTAGTGAGTTTTTATTACATTATTGACAAATATAGTTTTTAAACAATCAAAAAATTTTCAGAGCGAGATAATTATTTGTCAAATATGAATGTGTTTTCAAAGAGGAAATAATAATAAGTGATAAAAAGAAAATTCAGTTAGAACATTCACATCTCTAACAAAGTAATTTGCTTTGATTTAATCTTTATAATACAATATATTTTAAAATGATAAAGGCAAAATCCAATGTGAAAGGTTATGCGAAGATTACGATAGTACCTAGAGCATTCAGCATTCGTATAATCCTATAACCAGATAATAATAATATTAAAATAAATTTTATCTGAATGAAGTTTTCTTATTACAGAAACAGTAAAATTATGCAATTACATAAACGAATACACTTTCAGATAATATTCCAAAGTTCTGTTACATCTCGCCATTAAGCGCATGCTCAAGAATTACCACCCAGGCGATACTAATCGATTTGTCCATGACGTCAAAAATTCGAAAAGTGGGGTAGGGTTTGGAAATACGCCACCAGCCCCCCTCTCACACCTCGTAGTACTACCAACGACTTCATATAACAGTATATATCTCGTTGACTACTACTCTTCTTTCTTTTCTTTCCAGATTGTTAACAGAAGCCGAGTTAAAAGAAGTTTCTACATCTTTTGACACTCAAGAATAAAATACGATCTGTGTGTGATATACAATTTTATTTTAATGTTTTCAAATTTTATGGCTGGATTTCAGAAATCTTTTTTTTTCTGTAGTGATAATTCTAACAAATGCTTGTGGCAACTCCTGTTGCTGTTGTGGCGCCCTCTTTGACACTGTAATTATATAATTAACACTGTAAGCAAGCCCAACTCTATTAAAGAGTATACTAACTATATTAAAGAACCTTGCTGTAAGCATACGTTTGGTTAGGTGACTGTATGTGCGCTTTGTGATTTGAATTAATATAAAAATGCAAGAAATGGATATTCATTCCGTTAAAAATCTACGGGACATACGTCGTCAAGATATTCGATGTAAGTACTTGGCGAAATTTCGCGTCTTTTTTCGACTACCCGTAATCTCCAATCTTGCTTTAAAATTTGTGTACTTCAGAAAGTGACCTTCAAAAGGCATATGGGGAGTATGATGTTATACCGTGAGGATAATGCAAACAAACAGCTTACTTTTTATAATTTTTAAGGATTGCATTAAAAATGCTGTATGTAAGCCAGTTTATTGTTTAATAATGAATGCTGTTTATTAAGTATGTTTGACCACAAAATTAAAAAATTCTGCGTCTTTAGATATGTAGTTTATTAATATGTTGTAAATGTTATGTAAATAACTTTATTACGGTTTAATCCTAGTATACTAAAGCGATGTATAAAATTATTATATGATTTTTATAGTATTTTGCGATTTGCCTTTATTGTGTAATAAATTATTGCTATATTTGGTTTTGAACCGACTAGTAGTTTACTTACAGACTTAAGACTGAAGCTCAAAATTTTTGGGTAAAATCCTAGTACAGTAAGACCCCGCTTAACGCTGGGGATACGTTCCATCAAAGTAGAGCGTAATGCGAAACAGCGCTAAACGAGGCTATCTTTACATGTAAATATTGGAGTTAGGGGAAGATGGCTAGGATGGTTAGGTATTAAATTTAAAAAGTATGTTTTTTTAATTCAGAAGTCAAACAACAAAAATCAGCGTTAATTTACAAAATTTTCACAGGACTAGTTTCGATGGTTTTACCGAACCATCATCTTCAGCTGCAAAACCGCAAATGAACAAGATAGGAAATAATGTTTAGATAAGATAAGAAACCCTGGACAAGAATAAGCAAGTGGCGCATCTGTTGGCGAAACCAGAACTAAACATAAATTTCTCTAAAAGCCGAAGGCAAATTTGGATTGGAATTAGGATCGTTAACTAGAACAGAAAGATTTTTATCAATGTGAAATGCCTCTAGAAAAATCCAGTTCTCCAATGGAAGATGTTTTTTGAATAATTTTGGCAGCAGAAAAATTGAAAGTGTGATTTTTGGACCAACAATGTTGAGCAACTTCTGTGTTTCCTTTTTTCTAACATATGCCTCATGTTCTTTGACGCAAAATTTTAAGGCTCTCTTAGTTTGGCCAATGTAAATTAAACCGCACTGGCAAGGAATCCTATAAATACCCCAGGAATTCATATCCGGAATGGGGTCCTTGAGTATAGAAGTTGGAATTTTATTGATGGGAGAGTAAACAACCCGAAAGTTAAATTTCTGCAAAATATGTGCAACTTTATAGCTAATTGATGGAAAGAAGGGAATGACAACAGAATTTTTATAATCTCCTAAAATAAGAGTGTGGGCTTTTAGTATGTTGAGATGAGAATTTTTTAACTGCTTGATTAATAATGTTGGGTGAAAAGCCCCTGTCAATAGCTATTGCTTTTAAATAATTTAGTTGTTCATCAAGGGCTAGTTTGGAGGAGCAAACTTGAAGAGCACGGAAAACATAGGAATAAAATGAAGCTAACTTTTGTTTAGTCGGATGACATGATTTAAAGTGTGGTGGAACGCAAACCGATGAAGGTTTACGGTAAACTGTAGTACTGAAGTTGGATGTGTTACGTGTGATCAGAATGTGGAGAAACGGAAGAGAATTGCAAGTCTCAAGTTCAAAAGTGAACTGAATAGCAGGATCAATAGAATTAATTGTTGAAAGAACTCTATTTAAATCATCTTTATTACCTTCAAACAGGGTAAAAGTATCGTCTACGTAGCGGAACCATGCAGGGAAGTTTAAAGTTTCAAACAATTTTGATTCATAATAATGCATGTAGATATCAGCCAGGATGGGACTGAGGGGCTTCCCATGGCTAATCCCTCAGTTTGCTTGTAATATTTATTTTGGAAAACAAAATGTGTTTGTTTCAAACAGAGTTGAGTGAGAGAACTTAGCTCATCAATTTCGATGCAAGAGAAATGAAATTCGCGAAGTCTGGTTTCTAGACATCTTAATGCACCCTCCACCGGGACATTGGTGAATAATGATTTTACATCAAAAGAACCATGAGTAAATTACGAGGAGAAATGTTTTTTAACCTTTTTTTTACAAACTCTATTGAATTTTTTTATGGTGTAAAATGTTATTGTCTAATAGATTGGAAAATCTAGAAACTAAATATTTAGCTAACAGGATACAAAGCAGTACCTAAATTTGATACCAATAGGGCGAAAGAAATACCACTTTTATGAATTCCTCTTCCCAAAATTCATAAAAGTGGTATTCCTTTCCGCCCTATTGTATCAAATTTAGGTACTGCCTCGTACTGAAGAACTGAATAACAGGATCAATAGAATTCATTGTTGAAAGAACTCTATTTAAATCATCTTTATTACCTTCAAACAGGGTAAAAGTATCGTCTACGTAGCGGAACCATGCCGGGAAGTTTAAAGTTTCAAACAATTTTGATTCATAATAATGCATGTAGATTGTTCTTCCCAAAATTCATAAAAGTGGTATTCCTTTCCGCCCTATTGTATCAAATTTAGGTACTGCCTCGTATCCATTAGCTAAATATTTATTTTCTAGATTTTCCACTCTATTAGACAATAACATTTACACCATAAAAAATTCAATAGAGTTTGTAAAAAAGGTTAAAAACATTTCTCCTCGTAATTTACTCATGGTTTCTTTTGATGTAAAATCATTATTCACCAATGTCCCGGTGGAGGGTGCATTAAGATGTCTAGAAACCAGACTTCGCGAATTTCATTTCTCTTGCATCGAAATTGATGAGCTAATTTCTCTCACTCAACTCTGTTTGAAACAAACACATTTTGTTTTCCAAAATAATATTACAAGCAAACTGAGGGATTAGCCATGGTAAGCCCCCTCAGTCCCATCCTGGCTGATATCTACATGCATTATTATGAATCAAAATTGTTTGAAACTTTAAACTTCCCTGCATGGTTCCGCTACGTAGACTACTTTTACCCTGTTGAAGGTAATAAAGATGATTTAAATAGAGTTCTTTCAACAATGAATTCTATTGATCCTGCTATTCAGTTCACTTTTGAACTTGAGACTTGCAATTCTCTTCCGTTTCTCGACATTCTGGTCACACGTAACACATCCAACTTCAGTACTACAGTTTACCGTAAACCTTCATCGGTTTGCCTTCCACCACACTCTAAATCATGGTTTCATCCGACTAAACAAAAGTTAGCTTCATTTTATTCCTATGTTTTCCGTGCTCTTCAAGTTTGCTCCTCCAAACTAGCCCTTGATGAAGAACTAAATTATTTAAAAGCAATAGCTATTGACAGGGGCTTTTCACCCAACATTATTAATCAAGCAGTTAAAAAATTCTCATCTCAACATACTAAAAGCCACACTCTTATTTTAGGAGATTATAAAAATTCTGTTGTCATTCCCTTCTTTCCATCAATTAGCTATAAAGTTGCACATATTTTGCAGAAATTTAACTTTCGGGTTGTTTTTTCTCCCATCAATAAAATTCCAACTTCTATACTCAAGGACCCCATTCCGGATATGAATTCCTGGGGTATTTATAGGATTCCTTGCCAGTGCGGTTTAATTTACATTGGCCAAACTAAGAGAGCCTTAAAATTTCGCGTCAAAGAACATGAGGCATATGTTAGAAAAAAGGAACACAGAAGTTTGCTCAACATTGTTGGTCCGAAAATCACACTTTCAATTTTTTCTGCTGCCAAAATTATTCAAAAAACATCTTCCATTGGAGAACTGGATTTTCTAGAGGCATTTCACATTCATAAAAATCTTTCTGTTCTAGTTAACGATCCTAATTCCAATCCAAATTTGCCTTTGGCTTTTAGAGAAATTATGTTTTAGTTCTGGTTTTTGCCAACAGATGGCGCCACTTGCTTATTCTTGTCCAGGCTTTCTTATCTTATCTAAACATTATTTCCTATCTTGTTCATTTGCGGTTTTGCAGCTGAAGATGATGGTTCGGTAAAACCATCGAAACTAGTCCTGTGAAAATTTTGTAAATTAACGCTGATTTTTGTTGTTTGACTTCTGAATTAGTATTTATTCGGCGTGTTATTGTGTCTTAATTATGTTTTTTTAATAAAAATAAAACCAAACATTTATTTCTTAAAGCCCAAATTAATACCACATTATTATTTCTTGCAAAAATAAAAATAAAATATAAATAACAAAATGAATATTCTTAAAAAAAAACAAATAAAATTCTAAGTCAGTTATATTTAGTTAGCCTTCTGCGTTTTCAGTGTTCTTCCTTTTTGTGACAAAAGCATCTAATGTTGTTTGCCTTTTTCTTTTGCGTTGTTCTCTTAAAAGTTCTTCATAAACGGATAGAGCATCTCTAACACCACGCCTTGCTTTTGAGCTCCTGTCAAAATTAGGATCATTTTCAATGAATTGATCCATTATTTCAGTTATGGTAGACAAACTCCTTTTTACAAACGCCATCGAAAGTTCTTTTTGCTCTTCTTCTGAATCACTGCTGTCAACATTTTTTTTTCCTTCTTGTTCAGTTAATTCCTTGAGCTCATCATTAGAAAGACTAGCCGCTGCTTCTTGACATCTTCCACATTTACCCCTTCAAAATATGTCTGTACAATACCGCACCAAACAAGAAATACAAGTACACTCTTTCGGATATGTATTTGAAACCTATCGCTGCATAATATTTCGTGGAATCCCCGTATGCTGCGAGCGATTTCGTGGAATCCCCAGGTTGAAATAAAAGAGTGCTAAACCGAAACAGCGCTAAACGAAACAGCATTAAGCGGGGTCTTACTGTATACGGTGCAGCCTTGGTGCGATTTTGGAAATTATCGCCAACACCAAAAATTACCAAAAAAACGTCTATGTATATATAGTGATAGTATATTATACACTATACTATCACTATATACATAGTATATACTATGTATAACTATATATATTCTTTGAATACCCGTTTACTACTCATCGTATATGTCCCGTTTTTACTGCTCATCATAAAAGTAGCCAAATCGCGCCGGATACTA